TATGGACGCTCGCGGAGAGCCGCACGTGGGAGCGGCAAGGGTCGAGAATTTGTGCAAGATCGCGAAGCGCAGAGGCGTCCGGAGAGAAGGCGGACGGGAAGGGAAGCGGCGGCCAACGCGGCACACGCCCTGCCGCCGGAGAGACCGAAAGGGACGGCTTCGAGAGTGACCGGACCCCTGTTGGCTGACAATTAGTTGAGGCGACCGCCTTGAATAGAGTGGCGCGGAAAGAGAGAGAGAGAGAGCGACCAGACGCGAGCGACGCGTGCGGAATTCGTCTTCCGCGGAATTGCACAACGGACCACTCGGACCCGCCCCTCATTCTGAGCAGCGAAAGAAAAGATGCTGACCTTCTTGCCCCCGTTTCACGCCCGTCCGGATTGCAACGCATCGACTGAGGGGGACCGTAGAGTTACGCAATCAGGGGGCACTTTATTCCGCGCGTCACATGCCTACGTGAGGGGCGAGGAAGGAAGACGGAAATGCGGGAAAGCTGAAAAGAAGAGAACGCGCGCTGTCTCCCATCATTTACCGAACGTGGTGCCAGGACAATCTCGCATAAAATGTTTTGATGACATTTTGAGGGAAAGGCGGCTCATCGGCGTAAAAAAAGAGCGGGAACTCATGAGTCACTGTGACATTACGTCTGCGACTGGACCGGCGAGAGCGAGAGGTTTTGTGTAAAAAGGAAAGATGAATACTGAGTTTTCTACTGTACAGAACATACAAAAGCATTCCAAACTCTTCATTCCGGAGGGCGGCCGGCGATTCTCTGAAAAGAAGTGAGGACCAGAAACAATGAGCGACGCGGAAAGCGTGTGCATGATAGATGTGTGGTGGTCACTCTTGGGCAAACTTTGTGTTCACTTCAATGGATTTGTTGTGGAATCCACTAACAAGCGTCTTTTGGTTTCTGCGCATTTATGCAACGAGAAATACGCCTTCAAAACGATACCGTATACTTTTGTTAGCTCGTAACAGTGTTGTTGAGTGGAGAAGGAAGCGAAAAAGGAAAGTCGAATAAGAATAGATGGAGCATTTTCAAAACACTTAAAATTGATAAGCTCTGGTCACTCGCTCAAAAGCAGCTGATAACTTGCTCTAACGGTCAGTGCGCTTCGGTTTGGAACTAACAACAGATAGCACTTTCCACATGCACAAGGAAAAGACAGGGCAAGAAGTTTCTTCGGTGGAAGAATCGCGTCAGTTTTAGTCAGCTGACCAGTTATCACCGAACTTCCACATGTCATTCAGCTGCCACTTTTCCGCCGATTCACAGAATAACCTTTTTAAACGAACTTCTTTTCCTTTCATTCGATTCTGGCGGCTAGGGGTGTACACATCGGCGGCTCTTTATGCTTCTTCAAATTGGCACAATTTTTCCAGCCGTTCCCCTCGCCGCGAGCCCGTGACTAACGCGCTGACCAGTATGTTGCGAGTGGTCAAGACTAGGGATTACGGAAGGATTTCGGATTAGATTTATGCACTTATCAAAAGGGACTGATGGAATTGTGATGAAGCGCGCTGACTGAACACTGATGCCTCGTTCGGTTTCGAGCCATGTTTATAAGAGGCTCTCCAATGTCCAGGTCGTTCGAGGATTATGCACTGCCGCGTCTAGGTGTTACGTGTGACTTCCGCCACAAAAGGAGAGAAGTGGGGGTTCAGCTTACCAAGAGAGTCGACAGATCAACAAACTTTCCTGGCGACAGTCAACATCTTGGTTATGTGTACTTTTGGTGCTGGTGAAAGAAAAGTGTGGTGCGGGGCGGCTTGACGTTGGTTTCGCTTTCCCGCTTCTTCTTCCCCCTGCACTTCGATCCAAGTCCCACCCAAATATTTGCCAATGTTCATAATAGCGGAAGTGCTAGAGGCCTTCCTTTTGGGTCGCAGGGCAGAGGGGTGCGAAAGTCCAGCGGAAGAAAACTTTCTTTTCCGCGAGAGTTTCCGCTTGTCTCACCCTAAAAACAGTTTGTTTACCAACATCAAAACCGAAGACCATGTCAAGTTATGCAGCCACCACCCAGACTGCTTGGTGGGGTTGCCACAATAATTTCCACACGGGCTCTCTTCCAGCTATTTCTCGCCACTGGTCAGTCTAATCAACGGCGTGTTTTTCAAAACATGTGAACACCAGCGCGAGCAGCAGACAGCGAGTGTCCAGTGAGATGAATGAGAAATGAAAAATGAAAAACACTTCGTCGCCTTCTCAAGCGAGCGGAAGCCGCGCGGGGCTACTTCCGTTCGTCTGAGCAGAAGCGGAAAACATGCAAAAGTTATTGTCTGCGAAGGGGAGACGCTGGAAATGTCATTACGCGTGTCAGATCGTCGGTTCAAACGCCATTGAAAATTGATGTGATGAGAGAAATCGCTGTGGATTGGATTCCTCTTAATTTCCCGTTCCAGCTATATCATCATAATTTCTAGGCGACCAGGTGATAGAACTTGCACAGCGTACTTCGGTCAGTTACGTGCGTCGCACTGAAACGTCGTTTCCGGAGCGCCGCTTCCTCCTCTTTCCGCAAGAGAAAGCGTCTCAGTTTTCCACCACACACTTTCGTATCTTCTAGAATTTCGTTCAAAAATTCGCACACGACCTTCTCGCACAATGACCTCTAACAATTTCACCTCGTGAGTGGGGCTGGAAATGAAGATGAGCGAGGCGCAAAGAGAATGGCTACTCGAGCATTCCGCGTGAGAGAGTCTGACAGAGAAACGAGGCGAGTTTCTTGAAAAAGCACACGCGTCAGAGCGGCGGCGGCCGAGGCGGCAGAGGCGCGGCAAGCATTCAGAGCTGCCTCAAAATTCAGAGGGACCATTGAGTCTTGAAGAGAAACGAGCTGTGAGCCCCTAGTGAATGGTCAACACGTTGAGACGTCAGAGAAGTCGGGCGAGGAGAGGGTCCCACTCTCTCTCTCTCTCTTTCTTCCTCCTTCTCCCCTTTTCCCGTCCGTCTCGAATTGCGAATGGGACCTTTTCGTCGGGAAGAGTGACCACCCGTTGCGCCATCGCAAAATTGAACATAGGCTAACGAGAAAGAGGGACGAAATGAACATCGACTGCTCGCCCGACATTTCGAAAGGCTTCGCCTTAATTCCATTTTCAGTGGTGGTACACGAAATTCCCGCGGACACTATTAGTGTTTGATTCAGTTTAAGGAGGGTCTTTCTTTCCATTTTGCGCCTCGAAGCGGGTCACAACGATTGCGGAAGAAGACGACGACGAAATAAGTGAGAGAGGGGGGAATCACTGTGCACACAGTACGAAATTGAAACGGTCAAGGCATGAAACATCACACGCGCGTGGGTTATCACCGCATTCAAACGCGCGAATCGAATGAATACTGATGTGTTTGGATTCAATCGTGAAACATACATACAAAATGATAACAATGTGCCTGACCATGACAATGACCGTTGAAAAGGGAAAGGGAGAAAGTTGAAACGGTGTGATTCAACATGGGAATGGTTGAAACTGCTTGAAGGGGGTGGAAAAAGGTTCAGGCGGACTGGTTGGGTGTCCGCATGTCACTCTAATCTACATCCGGACGCAAAAAGAGAGATCGCCGCCAGAACCCAATTCCAAATGCATATATCATACGCGGCGAGAGCAAAACGCATGCCTGGCGTTTTCCCCTCCTCTCTAGCCCTTTTTTCTCATCCAATTTTGAATGTCGTTCTCTCGTTCGTCTGTCGCGGGGGGCCGAACCTCTGCCGCCGCTCAAGCCGTAATCCTTGTCTTCCGCTCCTTTCCTCTTTTTTCCCCGCCATTCACCTCACGTCGTCCAACGGACCCGGCGGCCAGGACCGCTGAGAGCACAACAAAAAAGGGGCTGATGGATGCAGGAAGAAGCGGCGTATAGCAAAAAACATCGTCAGTAAAGATTGGACAATTGGGGGATGGAGAAGCTGTCACGTGTGGTCCGCATCTGAAATTTTAAAATCCGGTGCCAAACATTGATGTCTGAGCGAAGCCGTTCCGAAGGGATCCATCAACTTTTCATATCTCTCCGCCATGAAAGAGAACTCCCCAAAGACCAGCTCGGTCGTCTTTTCTGAAGTTATTACCACCGCATTCATTGCGTTATAAGTTGGCCTCGAGATTTGAAATGCGATATTCCGCATGAGCCGCTTTGGCAATTAATAAAAACGCAATAGATGCCGCGGGGCGTCTCCTCTTCTTCTTCTTCTTTCTCCCCTTCTCTTCCTTTCCAATTTCCAACGGTTGCGCAACAGCGCGTGCTCAAGAAAAGAGCAGCATCAGCGTCCGCGTGATGCCGCACGCGTCCGTCCGCAAGACCGCTGACCACTGCTCAGAAATTTGACCCGTCCATCGGAGGCAAGAAGAAGAAGGAGCAGGGAAAAGTGGGAGGGGACGACGTGTGCATTAATCAATGTTTATTAAATTGAGGCGGCAAATTTTAGCGCATTTTCACCAGCCCGTTAGCCAATTCTCTGCCCAGTATTTGTTATTATTTTCAGCTGTTAGGGGTCTGAAAAACTGGCAGGTGAAATATAGACAATCGGCTGGATTAGAAAGGAACATGATAATTTCCAACAACAGATTAGCGCGATAAGTTCTTTGGTCAGGCATTATCAGCGTCGCCGTGTGATCTCAAGGACAGGGCGTTCCTAAAATATCCGGTTTATTATCAATTTATCATCTCAAGCTGCCCTTCGGCGTAGCTAGACGGACGTGATTTTCCAAGGCACAAACCAAACTTGTGGTCGGTCAGAAAGACGTTCTGACTGACACGAAACGTGTAGGTGTTCGGGTGGTACTGGTACGAAGTACAATACAATAATACTTTAGTCAAAATTTGAAGTGTTCGGTCAGAAGATAGCGGATTTATGTTGAAAAAAAGGAGGGGAATGAAAAGGAGAGGGACTGGGGGATAAGTTAGTCTACTCGTTTCGGACTAGAGTTGAAATTGCAAGTAGAACACACGGGGGAAATCGGATTTCTGCTTTTTTTTAAGCTGTCGAGGGTCCGGATTATGATTACTGCTGTTGTCGATTCGCCGCAATGTTCTCTTGACTTTTCAAATCTTTGAAAACACGTTCAATCTCGTAAATCGGCACGTCACAAATCAGACAGTTTGTTCTTCTCGCAATCAACACTGAAAAACGCAATTCTAGAGTTTAATGGAATGATTTTTTACTTACAATAAAAGCAAAGGACACAATAGTTGTGTCTGCAAGACGGCGGATTTTTTCGTTCAATAAGGAAACTGAGGCACGCGGTGCAGTAGTCGTCTTCGTTTTCCTCCACAGCGTTGTTGGGCATTTCGACTGTAAAGTAAAGTTTTTATCAAGTTTGGTAGAAAATGATGATGATGGCAAAGGTAGATGGAAGGCAAAAATGCAGATGAATCGTCGGGTCACATCAGTCAGTGAAGAAAGAGAAATGAGACGAAGAAAAGGGATTGGGTGGGATGGAAAGGGGGCGAAAAGAAGAAGAAGAAGAAGAAGAAGGAGAAGAAACTGGAAGAAAAAACGTTTTGTTCTTCTTCTTCTTCTTCTTCTCTATCTCCATTTAGTTTTCTTCTCCCATCATCTTTTCTGCCATCTTCTCCGTCTTGCTTTAAAATAATGAGAGGCATCTGGAAAGTCACAGGTCGGCATCGATACAAATGTATTTCGTTGAAAAAGGGAGAAGAAATCATTTTTCAATCTATCAGCCAGTTCTTCTTCTTCTCTGATTGTAAAGAAAAGGTTCAGCAGCGCGAGGAGATGAGACAAAAGATGGATATTGATTTTCTCTTGTTTTCACAGACAAATCAGACCCTTCAAGAGAATTTCTATCATCTTCTAAGACCAAGTGAGCAGCGGAGAAGTCTTGTTTCTCTTTTTGCACATAAGAGAAAGGCGGAGAAGAAAAAGAAACGGCAATATCATTCTCTCCCGCCGCCGAAGTGCCATCCTTCCAACTTTATCTAAAATATTTATTGTCTACTCGAATAAGTGGCAACAGAAAAATGCGGGGGTGGTGAAATACGTCCGTGTAGAATGGAATACGCAAAAAGAGAAGGTGTGTGTGTGTATATGGCACACATGGTGTGGTGAATGAAAAAGTCTGTATATAAATAATTGGGTAAAATTATTCTACTTCAAATACCAGAGTGTGGTTTCGAATTGTACATAAAATAAAAAAAAGGGTATTGGAAACAAGTGGAATCGACGGTCTGCGCATCTATTCCAGCTCGACAAGCACTTCTCCCTCGTCGACCGTGGCGCCGACCTTCACGTTGACCGCCTTGACACGTCCAGTCTTTCCGGCGTGCAGACTGTTTTGCATCTTCATCGCCTCCATCACAACGAGCTCCTGTCCCTCGGAAACCATGTCTCCAGGCTGAAAAAGGAAATTAGAACAAATTAGCATTCCTCATGATTTCGCTCCCCAGATTACCTTGACGTTCACGTTCTTGATGGCTCCTGGCATTGGCGAGAGGACGACAGTCGACAGATCAACCTTGGCCTTCTCTTTCATGTGCTGCAGGTACTGGACAGCTTGCTCTGGAAGCACCTTCACCTTGAATGGAGTTCCCTTGTAGAGAACCGTAATTTCTCCGGCGCGCTTTCCGACAATTTGCGTGGTGACGTGCTCCCCGTTAACCTCGAGTGCGTTGACTGGAAGCGCGAGGCTCGCGTTTCCTCTGATCTCAATCGTCTTTCCTCCAATGTTCACCTGAGCCTGGTTGGCGTCTCCGTTCAGGAACGAGACCTCAACTTCGTGCTCCTGTGGGCGTTCTCCCTCCTTGACCGGCAACGATGAGACAAACTTGTAGGTCTTCGCGAAGGAAGCCACATGAGTGCTCTGCTGTCGCTCCTGGTTGAGGAATTGATTGGCGCGGGCCAATTTGCGAGCGTTGAGAGCGGAAGCAAACGCGATAACGTTCTCTTGCTCGGTTGGCGTGAGGGTGGCTCCTTGGAATCCCTCCGGGTACACCTCCGGAAGGTACTTGGTGGTGATGTCGCCAGAACGGAATCTCTTCTCCTGGACAATGTCGCGGAGAAGTGGAATGTTGTGGGTGACTCCACGGATCACGTAGTTGTCCAGGGCGTCTTGCATGCGGTTGAGAGCCTGCTCGCGGTTGTCTCCGTGGGTGACAAGCTAAGCTATTTTATTAATTCCCTTGATTTTTTTTTATTTTTACCTTGCAAATCAGTGGATCATAGTAGATCGAGATCTCGGATCCCTCACGAATTCCAGAATCGCAACGGACTCCTTCAACGTGACGTGGCTCCACATACTTGGAGAGACGTCCGACGGATGGAAGACCGAATCCCTTGTACGGGTCCTCGGCGTAGACACGCGACTCGAAGGCCCATCCGTTGAGTGGAACCTGCTCCTGGGTGATTGGAAGCGCGTGTCCGTAGGCGACGCGAAGCATCTGCTGGACAATATCGATTCCGGTGATACACTCGGTGATTGGGTGCTCGACCTGTGAAAGAATGTGAGTTTCATAACTGATTTCATTAGTATGAATACCTGAAGACGAGTGTTCATCTCCAAGAAGTAGAAGTTTCTCTGCGAATCGACAAGGAACTCGACAGTTCCGGCAGAGTCGTATCCGACAGCTTTGGCCAGCTGAACCGCCTGCTCTCCCATCTTGCGACGCATCTCTGGGTGCACGAAGCTCGATGGAGCCTCCTCGATCACCTTCTGGTTTCTTCTCTGGATCGAGCACTCACGCTCGTTCAGCCAGAGCGCGTTTCCGTGCTTGTCGCAGAGCACTTGCATCTCAATGTGTCTTGGATTGTCGATGAACTTCTCCACAAGCATACGGTCGTCTCCGAAGGAAGAGGCGGCCTCCTGCTTTGAGAGTCTGTAGCCCTCACGAGCCTGCTTGTCATTCCATGCGATACGCATTCCCTTTCCACCTCCTCCGGCGGAAGCCTTGATCATGACTGGGTATCCGATCTCGCGAGACACCTTCACGCACATGTCCTCGTCGGCGATCTCACCATCGTAGCCAGGAATCATGCTGACGCGGGCGGCAGTGGCGATCTTCTTCGAGTGGATCTTGTCTCCCATGTCGAGGATGGCCTTGGAGTTGGGTCCAATGAACTTTGCTCCAGCCTTCTCGAGCTCGGCAGCGAACTTGGTGTTCTCGGAAAGGAATCCATATCCTGGATGCACCTGCAAGAAATACACATGAACTTGTCATGGGCCCCGTCGTTTTCTTGATCATTCGCTTTACGTGCAACGCTATCTCTCTCTCTCGTTTGAAGAGAAACAGGCAAGACGGGTCACTTGCTTGTCATCCCTTCAACTTCAACGTCGCAAATTGTTGTTTTTCTTTGTGAATCTCACGTGAACTGAGGTACCCCTCCTACATTTCCTAATCTGATCACGCACCGCCTGGGCTCCAGTGTCCTCGACGGCTTGAAGAATACGGTCGGCACGAAGGTACGACTTGGCAGTCTGGGCCTCTCCGACGCAAACAGCCTCATCGGCCATCTTGACGTGCAACGAGTTGCTGTCAACATCCGAGTGCACGGCGACTGTCTTGATTCCCATTGCCTTGGCGGTTTTGATCACACGACAAGCGATTTCTCCTGCAAAAAGGGAATCAGAGAGTGAAACGTGAGAGGAAACAAACCTCTGTTAGCGATGAGGATCTTGTCGAATTTCGGCTCGTTGTAGTCAATTCCGACGGTCGTGTAGATCTCCTTTCCCTCGCGGTCATCACGTGGCACTCCGGTCTTGGTGGCGGTTGCAGTGACAAGACCGCGTTTGGCGACGGCACGGAAGTTGGAAGCAGCACGAAGCATGGTTCAACCTGGAACTAGCTACCCGATTACGAATGTTACAATCAGAGTGACGGGTTGCAAAGAGAAAAAGGAGCGGAGGAAAAATGGAGGAAGACAGAGTGGAAAAACAGTTCTCTCTCTTTCTCGATAAGAGAACCGAGAGAAGATGCACGGTCGAGAGATGATTCGGTGGTCAGTAATGTCAGGCCGGTAGAGTGACTACGAAAATGATAAACACATTTTCTTTCTAGGTGAACCTAACGGTCTCTGTCTCTACTATTTCTACATACACGTTGCAACGCAAAAAACGCCGGGAAAAGGAGCGAGTGGACTATTGAGCATTGGAGCAGCAGCAGGGGCAGGCAAAAGGGTCCTCTTGTTGCCCTCGCTCTCACTCTCGCAACACGATTTTCGCAAAAGTTGTCTATCTCTTCTCTCTTCTCCTTCTGATGGACCCAAAGCGCAGTTGCCTCGTCTCTGCCCATTTCTTGCGATTTTGCACGTATTCGCCCTCTGAACACACACAACCGCCCGGGAGACCCGGAGAAGAAAGAGGAAAGATATCGGGAGATAGGTTGGAAAGAAAGGAGTCTGAATGTTACAACAGCGCCGACACCGACCTGACTGGACTGATGAGCTCGGAGCCGAATTTCTCGAAAACGAAACGAAGTTCACGTGATTTTTTGCACTGTTTTGGGTCGTTGCGCGAGTAGCGAGGCAAGCGCAAACAAAACCGTATGAAAAACGATAAGAAGACAGAACAAAATAGAAGCAGATCGATAGGACCAGACCGTTCTCGAGGAAGACAGAGTGCAATAGAACGACTCTCAGCTCACCAGCCTTGGTCCGTTGATTCCGTAAACAACCTAAAAACGCGCGGGGGCCACCCGAGATCGCATCGCGAAAGGCTAACCTCTCAACAGAGCGCACTTGCACTTGCCGCTGTCTGCGTCTTCGCACGCCACACACTCTCTCGCCTCTCTTTTGAGCGCAGTTGTTTGTTTCACTACTTCATTTGATAACAAATGATCGTTTGTTGCATTTTCAAACAGTTTATTACAATCACATTTCAAACATTTGGGGACACGTTTTCAACCGCTAGTCAATTATTCTTCCGTTGTTTCGCCTCGAATCGGCTGAGAATGGAGAGCGATGGGAATCCGAGGATGAACGTCTGGACGACCCATTTTGCAGTGGCAGCGAAGCTGAAAAAGAAGGGAAAATCATAGATTGAAAGAGTTAAACGGAAAATTACCTGATATTGGCCTCATGGCACAGATACAGAGCGTACAAGGCTTCTCCGGCGTGAGCGACAAGAGCAAAGATGTTCGTGAGAAGTGTGAAGAGTGGATAGTTGATTCCGATATTGTGGACCAGAGATCCGATCACTGGGATTGAGAGAGCTGCTTCCGGATTGGCATGAGCAATCTGAAACGAAACATTCAAGTTTAACTCAAAAATCTTTAAAACTTACATAGTTTATAGCAAGAGCTGGAACGATGACGAGCCACCAGACAATGCTCGGCGTCTTGAAGTATTCTGACATTTCAATGAGTCTCAATTTACACAAGGACGGATCCGAAGCGGAGTACTTGACACCCAGGTAGTTGCGAAGCGATCGACACACTTGCAGTGAGCAGAAACTGAAAAGAATTACATTTGTATTATATATTTACTGGATGACTAGACTAGACTTAAGAAAAACACGTGAACACAATAGGGTACATTCTACCCAACTGTCCGTACGCACACAGTTTCCCGATTCTCCAGGCGATAACGGGAAGCAAGAAAAAGGGAGGGAGGGCACTACCTGAATCAATACCCGACACTTTAGGTGACCTCGATAAAGGAAGTATTCGGAGAGAGCGCGAGATGCAGAGAAGAAGTGCGTGCGGCTCTCTTTGGTAAAGGAAAATCGTACAGTTGAAGACAGAGAAAAACGGGCTAGAAAAAACAGCGACACTCACTTTTTCACCAATGGAATCAATGTGATGTAAGAGGGAACAAAAGCGTGCACTTTTTCTTTGAGAATTGAATCGACCATCCGGCGGGAACATGATTTGATGCTCATGAATGGGAACCATGTACAAGTTGGTCTCATATTATTTTCCAGAATCATTGGCGTGCGGGCAAAGTATGGATAGAGCTGGAAAAGAGAAAAACTACGGAGTTTTGGGAGTATTTCTGGACTAACCGTTGTCGTCTTAATGCCTTCCAATCCTCGATCTCTAAGCTCCATTTGTAGGGATTCCATGGCTCCTCTCACGGCAAATTTGCTTGTGCTGAACCAAATTATTCAAAACTGTGAAGAGTTATGCTAGAATATTGTACCAATAGGAAAGTCCCATTGTTTCTCCAGCCCACCCAGCAATTGAACAAACTGCAACAATGTGTCCATCGTTTCGAGCTTCCATTTTAGGAAGGAATGCCCGGATTGTCTGAAAATATGAGGGAATATTTAGATTTTATGGGGTCCCTCTGAAATCCGAAAATCTTACGTTGATGGTGCCGAAAATGTTCACATCCAGACACTTTCTGAGGAGTTCGTTTGAAATTTCCATGAACGAAGTGAAGGAAAGGATAGCAGCATTGCAAATGACAATATCCGCATCTCCTGAAATCTTCCGTTTGTTTTCATTTGTCCCCTTTAAATTTACCAAATAAATCTTCAATTTCCTTGGCAGTTTTTTGCATCTCCTCCACATTACTGATATCACAGTACCAGAACTTTGCCAAATTTCCCTCAGCCGCTATAAGTTTCACCGTTTCCAACCCTCCTTCCTGAATAGAGAATCTTTGTGGAAGCCTGGAAAGCTGGGAACCAAACGAAACCTTGTTCACATCAATTATGGCAACTTTTGCTTTTCTCTTGGCAAAATCCAAGGCCATCGCTCGACCCAGACCAGATCCACCTCCCGTAATTACCACTGTTTGGCCTTGTACGTTCTGTGAAATTGAGATTAAAACATACAAATTTCAGCGTGAACTATGACTTTTGTGTTTCGGAAAATGGAAACCTACTCACTTTCTGACGAAGGTTGACGAATCGGTAAATGTCGGAGGGGATGTCAATGAAAAGTATTCGCAAAGCTACTCCGAGCGTACTCCATAACTTCCAACTCCAACTTGTATACATTTCCAGAACTGAAAAGAAGTTCTCAAAGTGCGCGCCGTTTATAATCCGTTTTGAAAAGAGGAAAAGTCAAAAAGCCACAGGAAGTACTAGCAGATGAAGAGGATCGAGGGCTAACAGCGAAATAGGTCAGGGTGACTATGCGGGGTGCAACAGTCGTCCGTCTCTCTCTCCACGTTCTTCCACCGCCGCGACGCGCCGTCACTTCTGTTTTTATGATTGATTCCACCAGGGAACAATCTTCAAATTCGACATATCATCTTCATTGAGAACGAGTGAAATCAAAATGAAAATGAAAATAAGAACGAACAAAACAAAGATTGAATGGGAATGGGAAAGGGAAAGGGGCAAAATAAAATTAAATCAGGTCTTCGTCGCTGACAGACTTCTCGTTCACTTCATCCTGAAGGGGCGTCTTGTTGATTTTCACTGTAATAAAGCACTTTCGATTGGCATGTTTTTCAAAGGGCAAGTTATAAAGGATTAAAAATCTTACTCCCGGGCGGGTCGGCAGTGATTTCGTACTCGTAGTCCTCAGAACCCGATGTGGTGAGGGTCATTTTCGACTTTTGAGTCACTAATTCAGAAGTCAGTTTATTAGGCTCTATGACTTTTCCGAGATTGTTAGAATCTCCAGAGTGAACAGTCTCAATTTCAGCGACAGAGTCTACGTTGGTCTCGATTTTGGCGATGGTCATACACTCCTGACATGCGATCAGAGAATAGCAAGTACCGCTTGCCCAACTATAAACAAAATTATGTTGATGTGAAAAACAGATAGACGAACCTCTCAAAATCGTAGTTCTCATAGCGATCAGCCTGCTCAATAAACGGATACTGGTCGGTGGGCACTTCAACATGCACGTACGGGTATATTTGTTCCATTCGACTGGAGTATCTGAAGACAAAATGTTTTCCGATGTGATGTTTTCAAATATCAACCTTCTGTAGTTGTCGTAATACGCCCGATAGTAATTGTAGTAGGGAGCGTCGTAAGTAACGACTCCAGGGGATTGAGGGATCATCACTTGCTGGATCATAACGTTCTGACTGGTAGTGACAAGAGATTGAAGTCCGTAACTATCGATAAACTGAGTGGTTATGATGAATACCTTCGCTGTTCTTGTGAATGCTTGCTTCGACAGGATTGATGCAATTTGCTGGAGAGTTTAGATGATTTGCCGGACCTTTTTCAAAGTTCCCTACCTCAACGTCGGTTTTTTGCGTCTGCTCACCACACCAAGTTCCGCATGGCAACAATTTCAACTTTTGCACAGCAGTTGACAAATCTGAGTTTCGGCCATAAGTACCCAATCCTATTACCGCGTTTGGTTCATTCAGATTATCATAGAGGTAGATTCCGATTTGAGAGGACTAAACAATGTGCAAGTTTGCATGTTATCATATGATTAGCACTCACCTCTTTCGTCCTTCCCATATTCACAGAACTTGAAAGTTTTGCTAGTAAACTTCTCACAGCGCTCCATTGATAATCGGATAAATAATATGCTGCTTTTATAAGAATTAGAAACTCTGTCGGTTCATCCGGACAGCAATAAATTAAAGAAAATGTGATGGTGAAAATAAGTAAAATAACGATGTTTGATCGCATGTGGAGTGGGAATGACTGTTGAACTGTATGGGCGCCTCAGCTTTTTATACGACGCTTTCTCTTCCGATTTTTTAGGAAAATCTGCCACCCAGCCACCTCAAGTGGCCCAAAAACTTTTCTTGACAGGCGAAGTGACGCATCAATGTCAAGAGTCTGCGATGAATGCGGATATCCGAATATTCTTGATTTTTCATTCAAATCTTCATTCAAACTACAAATATGTATACTTGGACCCGTTGTTTTGACTTAAGGATAGGATAGGATACACCGGAATGGAATGACGGAGAGGGATTAACAATAAGGACAGGACACAAGGGATAGAAGGTTAAATGGGCGCGGCGGCACCAGCACTATCTTTCTGTTTTTGAAATTTCTCCCAGAACCTCGAAATTGGCCGCATAGTGACATACAGATCACTAAACCGTGTTCTTCGATTTTCAACAGGAATTTCAGATTGATCGCCGCTAGTTGAAGGTCTCATGCGGACCGCAACTGGCGCCTGCTCGACGTCCACGTCATTTCCGTTCTCCGGTTGCTCTTCAACTTCTGCCTTTCGCAATGATGCAAGTTTCTGGAGCAATGATGCAATTGATGGGAATATCAGAATCTTCCTGAATTGACAGAGATAAAGGGTGTTTTGAAATGATGTTACCATAACAATAGTACAAATCCAAAAGCGAAAATAGCCAGCGTCATCGGAATAATGTTGGTCAGATAGGCTTTCTTCACAATGAACCTACATTTGACCGCATCACAGAGAATGTTGTCACAGAATCTGTAATACGTGACGTGATAAGATAAGAGCCGGTCATTTAGTTTTGAAAGGTAGCCGATAAAAAAGGAGCACAACTTTTTCGTAATTTTTCGTTTCTATTCGTTTGAACCAGACAAGTTCCCTGGCCCTGTCTGGCAAGATCCAAATTTGTTCAAATGTGATAGATTGCCACTTTGGCATTCACTTATAGCAATGTTACGGCATCGGCCCGGATACCTACAAGTCTCTTTTCAACTCACCTCTCGGGTCCACAATCACATTCCTCCTCTTCTTCCAACATTCCGTTCCCGCAAATTGGCAGTGAACCTTTTCTCATCGTGAGCCCACTTGTCAGACTTTGCGACTGTTGTGACAGACACGTGTGATTCGTTAACTTGTCCACCATTTCCTGTACACTGCATTCGCCGAATCCACTGAAACACAAATGAAACATTTTCGGACCCATCGCAGTTTTCTACGCGCTTTCTCTTCTCGCTTTTCTATTTGCTCAATGGAAGATCTTTGCAGCAGCTTCTTTCTGACTGCCTGCGTCTCACTCTCTCTTTTTTGCTTTCGCTGACCCTTTGCGTAAGTATTCGAATGTTTCTTTATTGAGAAAAAGCTTACCGCAATTTCAAGCATTTTCCGTTCTTTGCATTTTCATTTTCATTTTTACAGTTACACTTTGTTCTAATTTGATGTGAGAGCCCGACAACATGAGCCAGTTGGTGCATGAATACCCAAGCATTGTTCATTGTTGACTCCGGGAAAAACTAAAAGTTTCGCGATTATCTTTACAACCACGTGTTTAGTGCTTACACCAGAGATCATCAAACTGTTTTTCGAGCAAATTCCGTTAGAATAGGCGATTCCTCCTTCATAATTGTGTCGGAGCAGAACTGTCACATCATGCTCCATCAAGTTCCTTTGTTCTTTCTTCCAAGCCGTGAAATCATCCAAACCCATACTCGTGCCTTTTACCGGTAATATGTCTATTATAGACAATCGAATGTTCAGTGGGTAAAAGTACTTAAAATGCTTTTATCGGACTTTCACAAGACTTTAGATTTTACCTGGTTCACAGTGTGCATAAGGACTATAAGTGCTGAGCGAATGCGATTCTCGTCGTAGTTATAGTACCTTGTCTGAAAATTGTAGAGTTTATTAAAGTTGTTCAGCTAAACTGACCAATGAACTGTCAATTCCCACCAAGAATGTGATGAGTCTCAGTTTTCCATCCGTTTTTGCTTCACTCCAATCACTAATCTCAGTTTCCACGTCATCTTCCTGAAAATATTGACAGTTTAAAATGCATTTCCGAACATTACTTACTATTTCTGTGTGTAAGAAGCTGGCATTTAAAAAACTATTAAAGAATATTAGTGGTAGAATTATAATACCTCTCATGAGAGTACTAAATGCCACCGGAAAACCGTGAAGAACGCCGTTTTGATTCTGGAAAACGTGTTCTTTTTTCAACTGAATATGACGCTCAAAAGAGAATGTGAGTCAGAAAGAATGAAATGACCGAATGACTATCAATAGGCGGACAAATGAGAAGAATAGGTTTGGACAGCACCCGACGGGCGGAAAACAATAACGTTAAAGCCCAAATGACACGGTCGAGTGAGGGACGAACACAGGCAGTGTACAGATCGGCCGGATCCTTGGCGGCTGGTTGAGATTGAGAAGAAAAGGGATGACATAGAGTGAGGGGAAGTGATTGCTGTGTATCACTGTTGCGCACGCTATTCGCTGGTTATGAGTCAGCGAATTACGATCATTTTCTTCTTCTTCTTCTTCTTCTTCTCATTCTTCTTCTCGTTCGCTGTAAAAAGTGAGAAGACGGCAAATGGACAGTTTGTCCAGGAAACTGATACTTTGTGGAGAAAGTGAATGGGTGACTAAACTGTGAAAATTGAGACGAAGATGGCTCTTGTTTGCTCATTCACTTGAATGGAACACAGCAACACTACTGACTGCTCTTTTCTGTTTTTGTTTGGTGACATCATGAGATAGCTGAACTTTCGTGCTATCAACGTAAAGATTTGATTTTTAAAGACTTTTTTGAGTGTGACGCTTGTTTTCCCACATAGAACTCGTCATTTCCGCACCAAAAATTGAACTAGATCAGTCAAAAGTGACGCATTTGCATAAATTACAGCAAAATGGGAGGGGATGGTGAAACAGCAACAGACAGTAGCGGTCAGTCGAATACTGAACAAACGGAGCCAATGTTACCAGTAGGTTTTTTGAAAATTGTTGAGAACTAAACAATTTTCACTCACAATCAGACGGCCAGCGAGACAACTGCGTGGAGGTCCATTTACATCGGAGGATCGTGTGCATTCATTCAAGCGACCCAATTCGCCATCTTCTTCGCTTCCATGTGGCCTTATATTTTGACAGTAAGACTAGTCAACATCATACTCGCAAAATCTCAGTCAAAATCCGTCAGCCCGGCAGTAATTCAAAAAATTTCAATCATTTTCAGAAAGGTCAAAATTTTTCAATGATTTTAAGTTCTAATAACGTTTCTCTTTGAATATGAGTAATCAAACACTTCTAAGAGTGAGTTTAGGATAGTTGGAATCAGAAAAATAAAGTTTCAGTTCAAATTTTCGGCATTCCAATTATCATTTTCAGTTGAAGCCTGATGTCAAGCAAAGCAGTTTTGGAATAGTCGTGGCACTCTACAGCTTTTCGCAATGCATCTGCTCTCCAGTTTTCGGATACTGGAGCAATAGAATCGGTCAAGTGAGACTTCCGCTCATTGTTGGATTCATTATTATGGCTTGTGGAAACTTGACATATTTGAGTTTACAATACTGGTCGGACCATCATTTGTACGTAATGATGGCTGCTAGACTGATCGCTGGAGCAGGAACAGGTAAGAAAATCAAGGTAGTAAACGGAGTTCAGAATTAGGTAATATTTAGGAAACATGAGTTTACTGCGTGCCTATGCTTCTACAGCATCTACATCAAAAGACAGGTCAAGAGCGATTGCTTGTGTTTCCGGAGGTATTGCAATCGGAAGTATGATTGGCCCGGGCCTTCAGCTCCTTTTCTCTCCACTCGGAGCAGAAGGGTTCACAATTTGTGGACTAACAATCAGTATTTATACCTCACCTGCCCTGTTTTGTCTGTTTCTCAATGGACTGGGCCTACTGATTGTTCAGTTTGCATTCGAAGAAAAGTACATAATAGCGATGGAGAAGAATGTGGAAAAGGGGAACGAAAACGATGAAAAGAAGGTGTGTTGGGATAGGATTTCCAAGAGTAATTTGTTTGACAGATCAGTGTGCAACATGAAAACACAAAAGAGAGTAGAAAAGAGAGAAAGACGGAGAGTAGGAGGTCCTGGGGTATGGCGAAATCGCTGGTGGAAAAAGGCGCCGGGACTTATTTCGCAATTCCATTTCATGTTATTCAGGGCAAAGTATCATCAAAGCTGGCCAATCCGGATATTATTGCCCTGTTGGTATGCGTCTTTACTCGTTTCTCACAGATTTTTTTGAATACTACAATTGAAAGGTGTGCGGCTGTTTGAAACGAGATTAGGTCAATCCAATTATTGCAGTATTGGATCCGCTTACACAATGATGATGTTTTCGTTCGAAAAAGAAGAGGCAGTCACCGCAAATGCGGGAATTCACACAGTTTCTGGAGCTATTGCCGCTTCAATGTACATTTGTTTCATTTTTACTGGAGTTAGAAAATAGTAAGAGAAAAATTCGCCTGAAATATGAAATATCTACAAATTCCATAACTTTAGCATCAAAAACCGAGTGTTCACAGTGATTTCTCTTGTGATCCCACTCATCTGGATGTTCGGAACGTACCCCTACAGTTTCTACAGCGACAATGTAAAGTTAATGGTTAACGGTCAGTTTGAAAACTTTAAAATGAAATGTCAATTCAAAACTATGTTTCCAGGAAGTCATGCTGATTGTGACATTGAAAAATACGCGTGGTGTGCTGACTTACCAACCATTCCAGCATGGGTAAGCGCTTGGGAGCTAACCGGTTGGTTTCAGATTTTTTAGTTTCAGATATATTTTGGCGGTTTTGTTTTGGTCTTCGGAGTTTCGTTTTCCTTCATGAATATCACAGTGACCACTTTATTTTCCAAAGTTGTCGGACCACGACCTCAGGTGAGATTGTCCGGATTTGACAAAAGAGTAGGTATTTTGTTTTCAGGGAACTTACCAGGGAGTGTATCAAATGGCAGGATCATTCGGCAGAATGATTGCCCCACTTCTGATGAGCACCACGTACACCATGTTCGGACCAACGTTGCCTTGGCAGATTCTCATTGTAAACGTAAGTTTGTTAGATCGCTTGAGAAACTTTCAATTGACACCACTTTATTCCAGTTCATCGTCATCATCGCTGCTTGGCTGATCTTACGAGAAAGAATGGTGCCGTTCGAAAAGTATGAAGCAAAACGGGTGGAACCTTCCGATTAGATCTCTTTTTAGTCATTCATATTTATTACCTTGTGTGTTGTGAGAGTCTTTTGAGCATCGTTTGAAGTGCAATCAGTACGGTAAACAAAAACCGGTTGTCTCTTTTCTTGTTGCGTGTACTTTCTCTGTTTTCCCTCAAACTTCACTTGTCTATCGTTCTCTGGTGTTATTTTTTGTTGGTTCAAATACAAAAAAGAAACTTGGTCTCAAGCAGTGACTTATCGTATGGAGGAGAATACGAAGCACAGGCACGGATTACGGTTTTGCCATGTTTTTAAATGATTTCTCTGAAACACTCAGTTTTCCGAATTTGCCAGTACATTGAACTTTTGCTGAAACATTTACTGATTCCCTTGAAAGCAACTGTTTGTGCTGGAAAAAATTGAAGGCAGTTTGAAAGCAGTTTCAGAATTTAACTAGTGTGAAATTAAAGTTACTTTCATGCGTCATGTAGCTTTTTTTCACAAAAAATGAACAACCATTAGTCAATTGACACCAATATAATTCAGAAAACTCACGAAACTCAAGGTCATGTGGTGGTCGGCTCGGCAAGTCGGTAAATCAGAGTGAATCGGGCGAACCGCTCCTATCCGTCAACTTTTTTTGCTTCGATATCACTGATAGCGCCGCAAATAAATTCTCGAGCTCAACTGGATTGATCAAGAAGACTACGGTAATTAGTTTAAGAAATATGTGGGAGGAAGAGAAAGCATGTGCTCGCATCAGAAGCAGGATAAGAAAGATATCACTCGTGAGCCACGCCCAGTACGGTTTAACGTATAAAATCAGAGGAGCGCGGCCTGAATTCATTCCTCTGCTGCTGCTCTGCCACCCGGACACTTCCTTCAAACTCGACATCTCTGGAAACGTGAGTCGTCAAGTGAATCTAGAAATTGTATACCGTAAATGCCGTATTAGAAAGGACTACATTGTATATTAGTGGTTCGTAGGGTATTACGTGCTTTTTCACTTTTCTACAACTTTTTCGACTTTGATTCCTGATATTTCTACTTTTTACACCTTCCCAATTGCACTTCTTCCAATCTCTGTGTTTAGAGTTCGTTCGTCCGCAGCCATGTGGTCCTACCGACCTCATCTGCTGTTCCTGATCCTTCTCGCGTCACCGACTTGGGTCTTCGGCTTTTACTATGGGCTGCTCCTCAAAGAAGCAACATCAATAATTCATTTCTTTGGTAATGTGACTTGCTTGAAGGGACACCCTTTCATCTTCGATATCACCGTCGAGGAAGATGACATCGGACGATTGTAAGTTTCAACTTTATAACTTCAATATTCTTTTTGACTTAGCAACGATGATTTTGTTTTCTATGAAAGAAGATCAAGAAGCAATGATGCGGGCGTCGGATTCTATGAACGAAATGCGACATTGTATGGAGACGGCTTTTTCAACCTTGTAATTGAAATTACCATTATAGACATAAAAACCATTTTTCAGGGTTACTATGACTTCAGATTTACTGTCAAGCATACGTGCCATCACTCGGAAGGCTATAGGTGGTTATTTAATCATTTTGAGACACAGGCAGCGATTATAAATGGGTATGTGTAAAAATGTTACCTTATGTTGCATGCATTTTGTTTTCAGGGTTTACGATGTAAAGTTGGATATTGTGCTAGATGGGTGGCCAGGGCAATGCTCTTATTATATGAAGGTCTGAGTACGTTAGCACGCTGCTGTCTCCCAAATACTAGCATTTTTGTAATCGTAATAACAATACGTTTTTTCAACACATTTTTTGCATATTAGAAACGTTAAAATAAACTGTCGCCTCACTCAATTCTGCGAATATCTTCCTCATCAATCATAAACCAGTTTTCTCTGCCTCTGCTCTTACTTCAATACATTTTCGAGGTGTAAGAGAGGTTAAAGAACAACATTTAGTTAAACAGAATGAAGGATCTTCAGATACGTACAATCAGTTGGCAAAAAACAACTGCTCGGTCTTTGAGAAAATCGCAAGTGGCGTCTTGGGCGGAACATATGAGATCTTCTCAAAAAACGAGAGTTTGGAGAATAAGTCTAACTCAAAAGGAGGTGATCTGGAGTCAAGTTGTTTTTTCAGAGGTTGGCATCAAAATTGAAGAACACTTCTGTTCTCCAAACACCCACTTTTTAAAAATCATTATTTCTGAGTCAGTTAATCTTTCATTTCAATGTGCGTTCGATAGGGACACTCACAATGTAATTTGCCTTTATTCACTTATCACGATTTCGGCTATATAACATGCTTAGATACAATCGGAATCATGTTTATAAGAATGAACTGGAGAACAATTTCTCCATCTTAACATAACGTTCATAATCACTCTTCAGCATTTCCAACATATCGGCTAGCTTTCAAGTACTCCGGATCTGTGGACACAATCTTGGCAAGGACAAATGAATGAAGGTTGAAAACAACGGTCACCACGTCTTCACACTCAATGTCCTGCAAATGAGTACACGTTAGAAGAAAGTTTTGTATTGAAGAAAAGTAGTGACTTACTTTCACTTCGATCTTTTCGGTGTTCAAAGATCTGTCATCATTAAACGATAGTTGAACGCATAGTTTTCCATCGTCGGCAACGGCTTGAAGGTCTTTGAAGCGGTACTGCCAGATGTAACTCTGAGAAAAAAACAGTATAACACTTGGATAAAAAAGGATCAGTTCTAACCTTTGTAGGAATATCATAAAGACTAACTCCTTGCTTGATATCAAACACAATACCACTCGGCCGACCCTCAAAGTTGCATGCGAAAGTTCTCGACTGCAAAAAAAGTTCTAAACGTGTTTAACTCAAAGCAACTCACCTGCATCTGAGACACAGTATTATACACGGTTCTGTAGTAGGCTTGTTCGAAGAGCTCAAAACCAGAAGCTGACTCGAATGACAAGTAGTGGTTGGGAATTGGCAGCGGGGTCTCGATCAGGAAGCAATTATCTCGCTTGTCGCGTCTCGGACTCGTGCTCGGCACCTGAATTGAGGGAAACGCAGTCATTTTGGCTGGGTGAGTCTCGGTGTCAACTCACTTGTTTCACGGCCACATCATAGCATTTGTACAGGTAGATGCATTTGTTGAGGTCTTCCGAGTTGAGCTAAAAGCATACTTGTTTTGTTTGAAACCCAACCCTGAGTATCGTTTTTCTCCGATTACTTACCGGTGGCACATCGAAAAAGCAGACATCGCTGCCTTTTAGTATGAGAAAACGTGGTTGCCAGCGGATTTTCAGCTCTTCTTGATCATCGTCGTTCAGGTATTCGTTTACCCATCCAATGTAGCTGATCTGCAAAAAGAAAAGGTTGTAGAGATGCTTAGAAATCATCTTTTTAATGCGATGCAAAAAATCGGCAGCAGATGGATCAGTCTAGTCCGTAACTAGATTAACAAAGCTTCCGGTCCCAGTGAGTAGACATTATTGGCCACTTTTCTCACTTTTTGAGTTTCAAAATAATAATTTAATATTTTTCAAAACTCACCTGCTCGCTCTGATGCAGGTACTTATTGCTCATTTTGATGCTCTTGTGATTCAACGACAGAATGTGCTTGCTGATGTGTGCAATCCATTGCTCGAGAGCGGAAGTGTCTTCGCAATGCACAATTCCAGAGGATCTTCCGTCGACGGCGCGGACTTCGAATGAGTTGGTTCTGCATTGTTTATTTTGTGGACACTATAAGGTCCGCGTGTGCGGATGAAATCTGAAGCGAACCTGATATTGTCAGTTCCCCAAAGGTATCTGGTGACATAGGCCATTGCCAGTGGCAGCGAGGTCAGCGTTTTCCATTTTTTCTCGCGCCCATCGAGGTGCGCCGACCATTTTGAATCCGATAAACCAAGTTCGGACTGTGATTTCTTGCTCTGGAATTGAATTAGGAATTGAGTTTTGAAACTTATGAAGACCACACTTACAACGGGTCGGGCCGGATCAATATTTGAAATTCTAAACCCAGGTTTTTTGTTTTCGAAAAAATTCGTTAAAATCTTCAGCCCGGCCCAAAATCTTGCAAGTCTGATGAAAACCCTAGCGTGAGATTCGCGAACGTTTTCTGGTTCTGTTCAAATCACTCCAAACCTATCTCTAATCCTAAACAAATGAATTCTGTCCTCTTTTTATGGTTCATTAGCCTTACTCTAGTGCTTCTTCCGTCGAACAACTGGTCCAATGTGCCATCTGGCTGTAGGGATTGTGCCGGTCTGCAAGCCTACTGTTTTAATTGTTCCTTTCTCTCTCTCTCCCTTCTCCCTCGAATATCATGCATTATCTACCATCACCAACCAAATGTATCTTGACAAACATTGCGCCTCCTCGCCATTCTCCATTCCCCTCAGTGGCAATGGCCAACACAACCGCGCGCACATTTCTGAATTTCAAATGCAGTGAAAAGCATTCATCGGGGAGAGGAAGAAGATGGCAAGAGGCGGTGCTGCGAAGCGCTTGCCAACAACCACCCTTGCGCAGCTCTTCCACACTCTAATCCATCAGTTTTATGTTGTTTCTTCTCGTGTTTCTTCTTCTGCTTCGTTTTCCTTCCCATCTTCTACTTCTTCTTCTTCTTCTTCTTCTTCTTCTTCTGCTCCTTGTGTCTCCCGTCCCTCTTCTTGGAGTCTTCTGCACAAAACAACAACGGAAGGCCAAAAAGAGAAAGGAAGGATATGCGAAGCAACAAACAAGCCGGGAGAAAGGGAAAGGGAAGAGAAGGAGAAAGAACAGACTCACTTCAGAAACGGCGTCATGTGGGTGAAATGGCGGACACCGAGAGTCACTTGGTCACCGCTTGACTTCAACATGTTTACCACTTCATCGTGGCTTTGGCCTGAAAGCTAGATTGGTTCTAGCAGCCTTGTTATTGCCGCATTAACGATTTGTTATGAGTTATGAGATTATTCTCAGCTTTTACTTTCAATTTCATTACATACCTTCTATAGAAACTCCGTTGACTTCTACGATTGCGTCACCGACGAAGAGCTCGCCGCACTCATCAGCTTAAAATAGACGGCTTAGATATTTTATCCTCCATAATCTTACCGGGCAATCCCTTGAAAATCTTCGATATCACAATAGGCATGTTCTGCGTGTTTTCGGATCCTCCCTAAAAAAGAAAATTTCGATATTTCATAAGAACTAATCCCTCAGATTTTGCATTTATTTGTGTTTTGCTGGTCCCGTGCTCACTTTGATGGACAATCCGAATCCCGAGTCGGGCTTCTTGACTATGACCACTTGGCGGGTCGCATTCTCCATAAAAATTTCTTTGGCCTCCTCTGGCTCGGCAGTACCATCGTCAATGACTTGAATACATAATTCATCTGCAAAAAGAGGGGAGGAGTCGTTACGGGCCCCAAACTTTCGCGTCGTCGCGTGTTTTTTCTTCTTTTTTTTTCCTTTTTTTTCGCGTTGCCGCTCGTCGCCTAGTTCTGGAAGAGCGGCGGAAGAGACGAGCGGACTCGCTTCTTCTCCTTCTCCTTCTTCTTCTTCTTCTCCTTCCCAACAACTCAATTGTATACTAGACGCCAATTTCCGCACCATGAGACGACGGAGCCCAATAAAGTTTTCACACGATGGGGAGTTCCCACTTTCATTCTCTTTTCTCGTTCTTCTTTTTCGTTCCAGAACGTTCTCTCCACTCTTTTGCCCGAAATATTGCGTTTCATTGCTCCCCGGGGGACCGCGTGAAAAATGCTTTCACTCAGAAATTGATAGTTTTCCGCTTAGTTTCTCGCCTTTTCACTCACCTTTTGACAACAGTAATCGAGAGGGACGAGATGTTGAGCTTCCGTCACTGATTAACACAATTCCATGGTGAACCTGATGGATAGATCTAGTTTTTTTCGATGATTTTGAGATGAAAAGCTTACCACGTCTAGATTATGGTGCGATTTCGTAACTGACATTGAGACCAGAGAATATACAGCGAGTTTCACACACGGAGAAGCCGAGAGATGTCACCTCGCGAGTCAACTTTGAAGCTCCGAGCTCCAATCTCATTCTGCTCATCGGAAGGGGTGTAATACACACATTACAACAAGCCGAGCGGCTGAATCACAACGGAAAAGCGGCTAGAGAGATAAACAGATGGTTCCGGCTGCTTATTACCATTAAAATCACCAAAATCTTTGATAATTTTTGCTTCACATTTCAACATCTTCGAGAAAAACGAAAACAAAAGCGCATTACATCAATCACCGCTGACAAATTAAGCACCGCTCTTCAATCTTTGCCCAACTAATACGTCTTGTCAAGACATTTGTTCGTCCTTTTGAGGGGCTTCGGCTCCGTCGGTCCGATGAGCCTCTCCGAAAAAGGAAATCGAAACAGCGGTGCCCATCTCTATGGTCGCTCACTTTCGTTTTCCCTGTCCATTTTTATAAATGACGAACGATTTTGCGGCGGGAGACCGCCAGGCAATGACGATCGCCGATTTCGCAATATGTTTGAAACCGACGGCCGGTGAGGAAGCGAGTGTGTGATTTTTGTTTCCCTTTTAGTCATCCGAGAGAACGGGATAGATGTAGACGGAAACTTCACGGAAAAACCGTTGTTTTCTGCAAAAAACTATCCAATTGTTTGTCCACAGTTGTGTGTTCATCGTCTGGTCCCCCATCGAAATTTACTTAAAAATTCATCTGAAAAATAGAATTTTAAATGGCTTTTCTCATTTTCCTTATTAAAACTAAGTGTATTCAGCTGGTTGTGAACAGTTCTGCCGTGGTTTTTTGCATTGCGCGTCGTTCTGTGCGCACTGTCCGTAACGTTCGACGAACGGTGTTGACGGACCGTAATTCCATATGTTTCACTGTATCGACTGTTTGTTATTGTTCTTATCGATGATTTGCCCCATTTCTATCATTTTTTTTTGTGTTCAAATCGCTATCGATTAATGTTAGTCGATAAACTGACGAGTAAAACGTTTTATTTTCGATCGTATAGGTGAAAAAAGTGCGTTTCACAAGAGGAAAACAATTAAAAAGCGTTAGGCGCTCTGTTTTCTAGTCCTTCGCAGAGAAAAGAAGCGAAGAAGAAGCGAAAAAGGATGAAACCAATAATATTTGCAAGTTTGCCGTCTCTGGCAAGACTAATAGACTCGCAGCAAGCGAAAAAGGGAGTAGAAGTAGGAGAAAAAGAAGAAAAAAGAAGCCGCTATCTCGCCTGCTCTCACTTCTTCAGCTCGCGTGCCATTTTTTTTGCCACACTTCTACTTTTTCCTTTAAAACTCCTATTTGGCACACGGCAAATAAGTCTTTGCTCACCAATTCTCGCGCTCATTGCTCAGATTGGGACTCTCTCTCTCTCTCTCCCCCTTTTGCTTACATGTTATTGATTTTTGCTATGTTTGTCAGTGACCAGTCCAAAATTACTTGTTCCGCAAGGGGGACACACACACAATTTACCCCCTATCCTATCTTTTCTGTGCATCTGCTTTTTGTTGTCGTCGTGTGATTGAGGCACTAGCGGCTACCCTCGTGCCTTCCAAACAGACATGTAGGACCAGCAGATGACCTATTTATGGACCACTCATGCTGCCCCTCTCTCTCTCTCTCTTTCTTGCAACATTCTTCTCCTTCTTCTCCATCCGTTCCCTTCCAAAAACACCACTTAATCCAATTTCTCTAGGTCTTCGTTGCAGGTAGAACCACGAGTCCAACATCGACCATCCAGTGAGTGATGTCACTCAAACAAATCGTTGGGCATAGTGAGTTTTTGCAAAAATCTTTATAGAAACATAGCAAATTTCAGAACTGCTCAACGATATAATTCGTCCGCTGAAAAAGGGCGATGGCCGTGGCGCTTGGAATGTCCTTATTGTGGACACGTTGGCCATGCGAATGTTATCGTCGTGTTGTAAAATGCACAATATTATGGAGGAAGGAATCACGATTGTTGAAGATTTGAACAAAAGGAGAGAACCGCTGCCGACACTCGAAGCAATTTATCTGATTGCGCCAACAGCCGAATCGGTTCGTTTTTCTTCTCTTTTTCTTTTCTTCTACTTTAAAAACTTTACTTTTTTGCAGATAGACAAGCTCATTCAAGACTATTGCGTGAGGAATCAGTACAAGTGCGCGCACGTGTTTTTCACAGAAGCTTGCTCCGATCAGCTGTTTTCCACGTTGTCGAAAAGTGCAGCGGCGCGATTCATCAAAACTTTGAAAGAAATCAACATTGCCTTCACGCCGTATGAGAGTCAGGTGAGACTCTGAAACATTTATGTGCTTTTTTGCTATTTGAGTTCTTGCAGGTGTTCAATCTCGATTCACCGGACACGTTTTTTCTCTACTACAATGCGCAGAAGCAGGGTGGGTTGACATCGAATCTGGAGAGAATCGCCGAACAGATTGCCACGGTCTGCGCCACCCTCGGAGAGTACCCTTCCTTGAGGTACATCCTAATTTCTTAAGTTTCAGTTTTCATAATGACAATTTGCAGATATCGTGCTGATTTTGAGAGAAACGTCGAGTTGGGACACCTTGTGGAACAGAAGCTCGACGCCTACAAGGCTGACGATCCGTCGATGGGAGAGGGAGCCGACAAGGCGCGCAGTCAGTTGATCATCATCGATAGAGGCTACGACGCCATCACTCCGCTGCTCCACGAGCTCACCCTGCAAGCCATGTGCTACGATCTCTTGGGAATTGAGAATGACGTCTACAAGTACGAGACGGGAGGAAACGAGAACGTCGAGAAGGAGGTATGGAGAGAGGAGGAAACGTGCAATTATGGTGTCATTCCTTTTATTTTAGGTGTTGCTCGATGAGAATGATGATTTGTGGGTCGAGATGAGACACAAACACATTGCCGTCGTGTCGCAAGAAGTGACAAAGGGTCTCAAGAAGTTCAGTGACACCAAAGGAAACAAGGGAAACATGGATGCTAAGTCGATCAAGGACCTCTCGATGCTCATCAAGAAGATGCCGCAACACAAGAAAGAGCTCAACAAGTTCAGCACCCACATCAGTCTGGCGGAGGAGTGCATGAAGCAGTACCAGCAGGGAGTCGACAAGCTTTGCAAAGTCGAGCAGGATCTCAGTACCGGATCGGATGTGGAGGGAGAGCGAGTCAAGGACGCCATGAAGTTGATGGTCCCACTGCTCATCGACCCAGCTGTCCGATGCGAAGACCGTCTCCGTCTGATCCTTCTCTACATCATCTCCAAGAACGGAATCACTGATGAGAACCTAAACAAACTGCTGCAACACGCCAACATCTCGATGGCAGACAAGGAAACCATCACGAACGCCGCTTACTTGGGACTCAACATTGTCACTGATGTAAGTTTAAGAGATATTTGCAGTAGAATTTTAAATGAATCGAGTTTCAGACCGGTCGCAAGAAGACATGGGCACCGACGAGAAAGGACCGACCGCACGAGCAAGTGTACCAATCCTCGCGATGGGTTCCACTCATCAAGGATATCATGGAGGACGCGATTGACGAGCGTTTGGACACCAAGCACTTTCCATTCCTCGCCGGAAGACAAGTCAATCAGGGATACCGGTGAGTATCTGTTTGCATTTGATCTCGAAAGTTCTATAGCATAGAACCGAGGCATTGGCAACTTGTTGAGAGTGAGAACCACCAAGATGATGTATTTTTAGTGCCCCGGCGTCTGCTCGTTACGGTCAATGGCACAAGGAGAGAGGACAACAATCCAACTACCGAAGCGGTCCCCGATTGATCATCTACATCATCGGTGGTCTTACCTTCTCCGAGATGCGAGCCGCCTACGAAGTGACCGCCGCCCGCAAGCCATGGGAGATCATCATCGGATCCGATCGAATCATCACTCCGGACAAGTTCCTGACCAACCTGCGTGACCTGAACAAGCCCCGCGACATATGACATACGGCGGGGTACCGAAAAGAATCGACTGTCGACGAAACAATAAGATACGGCCCAATTTGAGCGCGTTTTTGTCCCACCTCATGCACCCTTGTCTCTTTTTGTAAATGTCTTCATTATTTCTTCACATTCTTTTTTGCGAACCCCACCCGATCCCCTGGTTTTTCTGAATTCTTGTCATACGCCACTCTGCCTTCTCTGGATTCCAAATAGGTTGTTCTCCATGCGCTTGTGTAACTCTTTTCCTCAAATAATGTTCAGTTTAAATCTTGAAAAATATGGCCAAAAACAAATGTGACTGTGTATTAATTTATGCGAAACTATGCTTTAAACGTATTGGCTTGGCTAGAACATAGTATTTATTTGCTCCCCTTCCCAAAACAAAAAACTGTTTTAGTACATTTGAATCTTTACAGGATAGTCATAGGCTAGTGTCAATTTGCTCTCTATCTCCTTCGCTCTTCCTACTATTCCCCCCATCCTTCCAAACAGAAAAAGACAAAAAAACTTGCAATAATTTCACCCCACCCCCTCCCAAATACCAAGGCTTGTGATTCGACGTCGTTTTATTTTCTAGTCGAAAGAGTTGTGCATTTGTGACATTCCACGTTGTCCCGGTTCCGCCCTTGGGCTTGTCGGCAAATTGAGTGTAATAAAGATCAACTCGAGGCGCCTTGTATTACAAAAAAACATTTATTCAGAAAGATATTGGTAGTTGTTCAGCTATACATTAAAAAAGAGGAACATCATCAGGAAAAGCGTGAAAAAAGTGAAAAACAGTGACGTTTTTGACTAACTACGTGTGTTTTTAGGGGTGTATGGTTGGTGATTGTGGTATAGTGTGAAAAAACAAGCATCAGGATGGATAGGAGCAATTGATTCAATTCAGCAGCGGGGAATTTGGAGAGTGGGTCATTGTTCCGTGAAATCTACTCGTCCTCCTCCTCTTCCTCCTCTTCCTCCTCCTGAAATAATCATCATACATCCGACCCGATTACTCTTATCAGTCTTACCTCGAGTTCCTCTTCCTCTTCCTCCTCTTCCTCCTCCTCCTCCTCTTCCTTCACTGGCTCCTCAACCTGAAAATCATTTGTCAATTACGTTCACTTCGATTCCTCGTTTATACCTTCTCCTCTTCCTCTTCCTCTTCCTCCTCTTCCGGCTCCGGCTCGACTGGATCGCTAGCCTTGACGGATTGAGAGTCGATCTCGGATTGGCGGGACGACTCGCGCTCCTCGAACTTCTTCTTGTAGTGACCGAATGGGTCAACAGAAGAAGCGCTGCCCGGTGGCTTGGTCTCTTCCCACTCCTTGAGAGCGGCCTCGTAGTCCTCAATCCTGAAAAGGGAGACCATCAATTTCAGCTTCAACTGTATTCAACATACCATTCCTTCTTCCATCCAGCTCTTTGAATGGTGTTTCTTGGGGTTCCGAATCCGGTCATTCCGCGCTGGGAGGCCAACTTGTTGGTTCCCGACTGGAGTGGCACGATTCCTTCGGACTTCTGCTTGAGGTCCTCCTCGATATCCTTACCTCCGACCGTGTGTGGGAGAACGTCTCGGACCTTGAGGAATCCTCCGGATCCAGCTTGAGTGGCAAACTTGTTCTGTCCAGAGTACCATGGGGTGAACTCGGTTCCGCGTCTCAGGATGTCCTCTCCGAGCTCGAGTCCCTCGATCTTTTGGGTGGCTTGACGGACGGCTCCGAGACCTGGTGGAGCGGACATTCCGGTTTGAGAGGCGAACAAGTTGGTTCCTGAGAATTATGAACAGTTTGACCAAATACTGTATTCGTTTCCTTACCGTTCTGGAAGCAAAGGACTCCATGGGTGCGACGGTCGTGTGGGAGACGTCCGCGAATGAGAGCCACCTGGTTTCTGTGTCCTCCCATGCTGACTTCTCCGGCCTGCGACGCGAGTCCGTAGTCTCCGGCCTGTTTCGGGATGAGCTTCTCTCCCTCCTTGTCAAGAATGGTCTCCCACTCCTTCTTGTAGGCGACCTTCGGCACCTGGAAGCGAGAAGCTCCCATCGGGGTCTCTCCCTTCTGCGAGGCGTATTGGTTGGTACCGCATTGGACGCGGAGCACGTTCTCGGATCTCTGGTCTGGGGCGATGTATCCCTCCTTCTTATCCTTGGTGATGTTCCAACGGGGCATTCCTGGCGCGGTCATTCCCTTCTGCGAGTCGAACTTGTTGGTCGCCGCCTGCATCGACAGGAAGGTGTTTCCTCCCTTCAGCTGCTCGAGAGTCCATCTCTTGCGTGGCTGCTGCTGAGCATCAGATGACCAATCCTGGAATAGTTCATATGAATTCTTAGTCCCCGTCAGTTGGGAGTGTTTCAGAAAAGAAACGTGGCGCGGCAAAGCTGTCAAACTGTTTACTTTTCGAAAGCCGTTCGGATCTTTGCATTGCCTTTTCTTTTCTGTTTTCTCCTCTCATTTTTCTCCCCGCGCGCGGCGACAAATTATCCTTTATCTCTTTCGTCTCTTGCAAAAGACAACAAGAGGTGGATTTGAAGTGCCTCGCAGCTCAAAAAACGCATCCGAGCAAATATTACACAACCTCTCTTGCCTTCCTTAGCTTCTTGGTTTTCTTTCCACATACAAAAAGTGTGGGTTTGAATTGAACATCAAAGGTTAATTTTGAAGAAAAAGAAGAAGAAGCCGAGAGAGAGCAAGGTTTGAAGCGGCAGCATTACAGAATTCCAGAAAAGTCTCATTTTTCACTGCTGATTGTGAGGAAATGTTTTGAAAAACTAACAAGGAACGTTTTCTAATCTTCAGAGAATAAGAGACGATTTAGATTGCAAAAAAAATCATAAACTTTATAAACTGTGCTTGATTACAGATATCTTATCACCTCATTAGCATAAATGACCGAAAAAGCAAAAAGTCACTTACTTCCTCACCCATGTTGACGGTAAAATGAAAATTGAAAACGGCGGTACGACTATGGAGTCAGACGACTGTCGAACTGACAGGCACTGCTGATGAGGGCGCCGTCAAAAGAGGGCGGAGCGGGTTTTCGTGGGCGGATACCTGTACGTGAGCCGATCGCATATTTCTCTAGCTCCTGCCTCGACAAGAGAGCGAGCAGATCGGAGAGGTCGCGCCGACAGACAGTCCCCGCGCACTTTTGCTTGAAGAGGACCGAGCAGATATTTTCTCTTTCTCTTTCGCTCTTTGTTTCTCTCAAAACCACCCCCGTTGAAAACGATGAGCAAACCCCAGGAGAGAGGCAAAAAGATGCATTCTCAATTATCTTAACAGTCGGAAAGTTGCATGTGGATCTGCAAACTAGTTACAGACATTTGTTTGGGAGGTCGTGAGATGGGATAAATTTAGACGAAAAACGGAGATGTTGATTATCAAACAATTATCCAGACTTGTTGTGGGCCTGGGCCGATGAAGGTGGAAGCGGTCCATGATTTTGTTCTAACATTTCACAACATGATTTCTGAGTCAACATTTTTCCAAAATCGTGACTTTTCTCAAACTTTACAAGCAGTGATTGAAGTTTCCAGAATATCCTACGATTTCAAAAAGTGATACTCTACTTGGCCGGGTTCTAACATCGTTTCTTGAGAATGGTGTCGCACCGTGCCAGATCCACAAATTTTCAGAAGCTCCCACCCACGCATGATGTTATCACCTTCCACAATAGGCCGACGACTTTTTGCCCTCTTTTCTCTTGCTCCTCATCTCTTTTCTCATCCTCTCTTTCAAGTTTCCACACTTTTCGAAGATCTCTCAAAAAAGTTTCGGTGGCGGGCGGCAAGACACAACGTGTAGGAGAGAGTTATCCCGGGAAAACTTCAAGTAGGTAAAGCAGCCTCAACTCGTTATCTCTATCTACCGTTTGTTTGCATTACAGCGAAGGGCCGCGCACTGCTTGCTCGTTGAATGTTTGGCGCGGAAGGAAAAAAGAAGCGGGAAGGAGAGGGGTAAGTAAGTTTGGGGATGGGGATGAATTATTAGTCATGTGTTTCATCATTTCTGATTTTTGATTCTTTAAATTTGGGATTCCCCCGTTTTTTCCACTTACAACTAACATTAGAGGCAGGAAAACGTTTGGGCCAGGTCGAAATCTTGATCTCCGGATCTGAACTATGTTGTTCATATTTCAAATTTCATTTGCAGACAGACAATTATTGAAAAGTGAGAGAGAAAAGAAGAGACATTCAAATTTACAATTGAGATGGAAAAACAGTAAGACAGTGACAAAATCAGTGCTTACATGGGTTCATTGAGGCCTTAACCGTTGATTTCCGCAGATTAACGGTTCGACTGTGGAAGTAATTGAGTTTGAGTGTTTTGTTAAGAATTGGGGGGTCATGAAAATGCAATTGTATGAGGAGGTTTTCTTGAAAGAGGGTTCTTTCACCAATTGGAACCGCAAGTTGACAAATTGAGTTGATTTTTCTATTCCGTAACATCAATGGGACGCTGTTGTGCGGCGGACGAGAAGATGTTGGCATTCACACTGAAATACAAGAGGGTTAGGGGAACAGAAGAGGAACTAAAACAGAATGTGAGGTTTGAAAATAATGGTACTTTTGATAGAAATGAAAAAAAAACCTTTCATGGGTTGTGTGTGTGTGTATGTGTGTGTTTTGTGAGTTAGAATTGGCTTTGGAAAAGGTTTCTGAACAAAGCCGTGCAATAGAGATGGGAGAAGAGCACGGGTGCTCGAAGCGAAAGAAAGTGGTGTGGAGGGGTTATGACGGTGCACGGATAGGCAGAAGAAATAGAAGAAAAAATAAACGGTCCCGATTACCACTTACGGCTGAGTCTCTGATTCGATCAGATAATGTACAAACAATTTGGTTTTAACAAAAAGAAACACTTTTTCTGGGGGCTTGGGACTATTCTTGTGTGTCAATACTGAAAAGGGGATTGTTTTTAGTTTTTAGAACACCAATTAAGGTTTGATGGTTTGAAGACACAGGCGACTCACTTTCCAGAAACTTTCATAAAGTTATCAACAATGATAGTGATGGGAAGGGCAAGAACAAGAACTCCGCTGATTATAGCACCGCTTGCAATCAGTTTTCCAGCTGAAAAAAAACAAATATAGATATCAACTAACAAACATTGAAAATGAAAAGCAACTCACGAACTGTGACCGGGACATAATCTCCGTATCCAACTGTAGTCATTGTGACGATTGCCCACCAGAATGCGGCTGGAATCGAAGTGAACGGAGTGTCCTTTTCGTCTTTCTCGACAAAGTAAAGAAGAGTTGAAAAGAAGACAACTCCTGTGGAAAGCACCATTCCCATCATTCCCAATTGACGGGCCGAGCTCTTCAGAGTCAAGGCGAAAGTACGCATTCCGGAAGAGTAGCTATAAAAGTGAATGAAATCAAGATCTGGCACAAACAAATACCGTCCAAGTTTCAAAATTCTGACAACACGAAGCACACGGAGCACTCGGACCACCAGAAGAGCTCCTTTGATGTCACTGAGACTGGCGACGTCGATTCCGAAAAGGGCAAGAGTGAGCTCGAGATAGAAGGGGATAATGGCAATCATATCGACGATATTCATAATTCCCACCAGAAATTGAAATCTGAAACAAAAACTTGATTCTCAGTTCATCAAAACAGATCGTTTTTTTTTACCTGTTAGGGGTTACGGCAAGACGAACAATGAACTCGACTGTGAACCAGATGATGCAAATGGTCTCGACATATCCGAAAACCGGATGAGGCTCCCAGATGACATTCTCATTTTCAACTGAAAACCTTAAAATTGCTCGGAAACTGAAATATTCTAGTTTTCTCGCTGAGGACGTTTTTCACCAAGTTACACAGCAACGTAATCAGGGTCGGGGATTCACACGAATGCAAACAACGGACTTTTGACTTTCAGAAGACGTTTTCTCAAGGGATAGAGGGACTTGATTTTAAATTAGGAAAAAAAAAACAAATAATAGGAAGTGCTCGGTCAGAATGATTTGGCATACTCATCAAAGACATGACAGATAAGCACTCGAATTAGATAATCAGTTTGAGAAGAAATAAAATATAGGTAAACCACCTGAAGAGTCAGTTGCGTTTTGATCGGCTGAAAAAGGCATTTCTAAGGGTTTCACTACTGAAATAAATTTTTTTCACCGACAAGGTTCAATATATTTTAATTCTTTAAGAGTTTCTACTTACCAAATGTCCAGTTGCTGATTCTTTCCGATTTTCCTCCTTTTTTGTAGATTGGAACCTGAAACAAAAAAAAACAGTTCGATATACTTGATAACTTTTGCCCACTTGAAGTTCATGAATAGATCCGAGTACAAGACCGATGACACTGATAAGCACAAAAGTGATACTGCCAAAAGTGAAAAGTGTCGATAAAAGCGATCCGTCTCCCTCGCAAAACTGATGAATCCGTGACCGCATTGAGCGATCGTGCAGCTCAATCTGCAAAAGAGTATGTACATTCATTGCATAGTCAATGAGTAATCGGAAGAAAGTCTCCGATTTCAGTCAACTCACCTTCTTTTCTTTGGGAGCCACGAGCTCTTCCAGCGAGGCACTCCTGAAATTATCAAGTTGACGGATGGAAAAATGTCTATGTATTGTGTAAGTGCACAATAAATCACGTCTATTATTCAAACAACTGCTTGGAATGAGAATAAGAATAAGAAAAAGCTAATTAGTTCAAAAAACTGGCAGCAAAATAATCTGTAAAGGGGGATGATGATAATGCGCACGGCTAATGGGTGTACATGTTGAAAAGTGAAAAATGAAAACGGGAAATTTAGGTTCTCTAAAACTTACTCGTCTGGTAACTCGTCTTTTTGAATAGTTTTCTTTCTGTTTGTGCTAAAACTTGTTATGTTTACTACACTCGCTCTCTCTGAATTCCTATTGTTTTGTCCCGGGCAAAACTAACATGTTGTATCCACGCCAACAACAGTTGGACATCAGTCCGTCGTTGATCTTCCAGTAGGCCAATTCAGTGGAGAACTCTTGCGGGCAGACATCGAGTGGTCGGTGCAATTGTCCGGTCACGTAGTATTTGAAGGTTGCGTCGAAGAGGATACCAGATCTTTCGAAGTAGTATTCCTCTTGTGGCTGAAAGCTTTCTTCATTCTACTTTAATCCAATCCATCTCGCTTTACAAACCAAAAGAAACGCGTCACAGGCCTGAAGTCTTTGCTCGTGGGTCAACTGAGCGAATGTCGACAACTTTTCATCTGCAGACCTTGCAAATATACTCGATACTCGAATCCGAAACGATGTTCCTCCGATGTTCAGCTTGATAACCGCATCCCCGGCGCCCGAGACAAGATCCGGCTTCGGCTCTTCCACCTCAGAACGTCTGCCATTGTTGAGTCTGTGCACAATCTAAAAAAAGAGAAAAGCATGCGCCTAAAAAGAAGCAACAAGGAATGCTCTTTGTTTCCTAATCGAGTTGCGCAGCTTCTATTGTGAGGTCACGCTCGAAAATAGGTTCATCTCTAGTTCCACCCGCCTGGGGACCATCGATCAGATCGACCACTCACCTCGTCCCCGTGATGATTTGAGTTGGCAAAGTTATCACGAGATCCAGCATGTCCCTTTCTGGTGCTGGGGATCACCATGGCAATTTGGTTGCTGAAAAAGAAGAATAAAAAAGTAAAAGTAAAGGTGAAAGGGATTTGGGAGAGGGTGGGAATATCCACGCGATTTCGGGATTTGGCATAGCATTCACCGAAGCACTTTCATCGAAATCACCTGTTTCTATCAGTTTGGCTCACCGCGACCTAGCGATTCTTGGAGCGGCTATTGATCATAGGGAAATGTGCAAGAGGGAAATGAGTTTATGAATGGGCGGTCGATGCAGACAGAGTAATGATATTCCGAAGAAGGATTCGGCGCGTTGTTTTGACACTAATCTCGGTCTCTTTTCTTTTTTGAAAAAGGAAGAGGGGGTCCGGAAGTATCCGGAGAAGGAACTTTTTGCGTTTTTTATGTGTTACAAACAGGGCATGCTGCTGCGCCACAAAAAAACGAGCGAAACATAGGGGGGGCGAGCGAATGAAGAACCAAAAAAATCTCATGAGAATCATTTGTTATAACAGCTTCAGCACAGAACACAATCATTTTGTACTATGAGGGACGTTGTCTCTGATTTGTGATTCAATTCCATGAATAATATACATTCTATAAAGCAGACGCTTACGTAATCAGGAACCAGACTCCCCGAAAAGCGGAAGGTTGCTTATTTTCTACCGTGGGAAGTGGTTTTTTATCCAATAAAAGCTCGAAAATCGCTAAAATAGATTACATCCACTGAGGCTATATCACAAATGTAGGGCTGCTCGATGCGTTCGCCGCCTCACTCTCGTTTTTGCGAGATAATCAGAAGCAAGCTGGAATTAACTGAATTGAAGTAGGAAAAACGAAAAAGCGAAAAACAGCTGCTTCGTTTTGTATCACAACGTAAGAAGCTCGCATGAAAGATGACTAAACTAGAACAGAAAATGAGGGAAGGTTTTTTGGGACCGGAACAAGATCAGATTTCACCCAAGTAATTGGTAACACCACGAGAAATTTGTGTGTTTTCTGAAACATTCATGAGAATGTAGCGTGCACGGCCGTGGGATCCGAGATCACCTGGTAGAAATTCGAATTACAACCTTTTCTTTGGTTTTTTTCTTTTTGATTCCGTTTTTGTGACTCATACATAGTCTGAGACACAATTGACACAATTGGGAACTGACACTTTTTGGGCGGACATGTCAACTCCGTTCGAAAAGTTATTTCTTGTCAAAGTTAAGAAAAAGAGAACAAAAATGTTCAGAGCCGGAGAATCTCGCGCGCCCGACGTCTAATGACCGACCGTCCCCAAAGAGTTGAAACAAACTATGGCCGGATCGCTTCAAAAGGGCAAAATCGTATAAAAGTTACGCCGCCCACGTTTTTATGCGATTTCGTATTTTATGGGATTCTCATGCTCAAAACGTTTCGGATCTAGACTTTGGACGCCATGTTTAGTAGCGAGAAATCAGTGAAGAAGAAAATGTGTGTGAGCAAATGAGGGGGGAAGTTCTGGTTGGAAGAGAAAGAGAAAGAGTCGTCCGTCCGTTGTCTTGAATGTTATTCACATCAGTCAGGTGAAGAGGGACGAGTACATTTTTTCAGAGACATGAGTGTGTGGAGCGCGGCGACAATCGGTGATGTTAGTATTAGTCAATTAATCTTTGAACTCACTTTTTAGAGCCGAACATCTTCTTTCTTTTTTTAGTAAAGTGTGAATAAGGTCCAAGGACTTCACTAGTTTGAAAATATCCTTTTTCTGTTTGGTAAGAGCTCACGGAGCAGGAGGAGATTTATGATTGAATGAGCGTGTCGTCGAACTCTTCTTTGTGAAGAGGCAACGGAGGAAAATCTGGGGAGGGCGCCGAGGATAAGTTTCTTGTGTGACTTTTCGTCGCCTCAAAAGTAATCTTATTCGATTTTCAGTCGCTTCGGACTAAGCCTGACTCATCGCCATCTGAATGTGAACGCGTATGCGAATGCGAATGCCGTCTCGTCTTGATGAACACTTCAGACTTTCGCGCATCCATCCCATTCTCGAGAATAATCTCATCTTTTTGTCATGTTTTTTCCGAGAACCACACAGATAAAATGAGAAGAAATGGGGCCGTTTTCTCATTTTGGTTCGTTGGAAGCGTCACTAATATACAGCCGCGCGTTTTGAGAAAAAAGTAGTTACCGAAATCTTTGATACATTTCAGCGGATTGGCGGCGTCGAATCAGGGAATTGTGAGTCGAAAATGAAGAGGGCGCGGAAGAGCTGGACGAGTGGATTTGCAATGTGAAAAAACCTAATCTGATTGCGACGGAGTGAATAATTTGACAACAAGTGGTCAAATTGAGAGCATGAGAGTGAAGGGATAAGACCGCCCTTCTTTAGATTTTCGAACTTTGTGCATTGGTTTTTTCCCGCCTCCTCCAAATTGGATCACAAATATCTCAAGAGAGATTCCACGCTTCGGGGGCACTTTAAACTTTAGAAATCATTGAACCGAGGGTTTTTGATTACCTTACGTAGTGATACATGACGTTGTCGCGTGGAGTCAAAAAATATATTAATTTCAAAGGAAATGAAACTCGGAGCTAATCGGAGTCGAATCACGCAGGAAATAACGCGATCATCGGGGCGGAGCGCGTGCTTCAAGCCACGTCTCCTGCGAATGACATCTTCCATTCCACTTTTATCCCTCTCATTTTACAACCACACACTCATTTACAGATCTAGGCGCCGTTACAAATTTTGGCCAAAAATTTGGGGGAAAACAGAAGCCAACCGAACTCAAACCCATCCAAAAATTGTTTAAATATAGTCTTGAGGCGAAAATGAAACGAAAAAGGAACTTTTGCTCCAAACTTCGGACCAAACGTGAGGAAGTATGTAACTGCATTTGAGCGCTCACAACTCGTTGTTTGAGGGATAAGAAAATGGGGGAGAGAATGTGAGAAAACTAACTCATATATGTTGTTAGTTATAGTTATCAATTTCGTACAAGAAAAAAAGAGTAGAGAGCGAAGAATGAGAATGTGCGGCGTGAGAAATCGTAGCTGGCCTCCCTGGGATCGCATATCGGCAGTCATGTGGGGAGAAAGTTGACAGCAAATTAAGTATGATTAAAGAGGAAGTTTAGATCGAATGACAACAAACGGCCCCTCTTCTTTTCATGGCCCAACAGCCACCAAAATCCGGAAAACGAACTATTTCACGAAAGGAAGAGAAGAGCGTGTGGAATTTGTACTTGCACTTCACTTCCACTTCTACGACACAAATAAGACTGTTTTTGCAGGTCTTAGGCTTCAAGGAAATGCTGACGTAGTAAAGTGAAGCAGGGGATGCAAAGTTCCTTTTTATCACATGGATTTAGAGACTATTGTCATATCAGACTGCCTTATAATCCCTTCTGATTATGCCAAATCTCCGGTATGGCTTTGAGGAATGCTCTTTTTCTCGCGATGGGTAATGTTTTTTGAGGGAAAACATAATGATAATGTAATCATTAATGCATTAGAAAGTAGAAAACACGTGCTCATCCTCTTTATCGCTTTTGGCAAGCGCCCATGTTTAAGCATGTTCATTTAATTTCCGACTGCTTCTCCGTGTGGTGTTCTTATATGACAACTTTTGGTTTTTCAATTTTCGGTGTTTTCAAATCAAAACGCATCAATCGAGACAGTGTGAAAAACCCGAAAAACAAAAGGACGAACACTTGGGGAAGAAGAAAAGTACCCGGAAAACAAGATGATTTCAATAGAAACAGGAAGTTTGAGCACCTGAACTTTTTTCTAGAATTCCATCTTCGGAGAAAAGCAAAAATAAATAAAAAGTGCATTTGGATGGTGTGAAAGGATAGGGATAGGCCAAAGAAATATGGAATAAATAAGGATGTGGTTTGTTGGCGAAAGGCAAGAAATAAGAAATCAAAATGAAAGAGAAGTGCGCCCTCCTCCGAAAAAAGGTGAATACATAAATTCAATTAGGGGTACACTTGGCGGCAGACTCCTACTCCAACTCCATTTTGATTTTTGGGAAGAAGCACGTGTTTGGGTAGGGCTCCAACCCAATGCAACACTCAAAAATCTTTTCTTCCCAAACACCATTCAGTTTATGTGAAATGGGGGATGGAAAAGGAGAACGAGGATGAGAGTGAGAATGAGGAATAAAATCATTTTCAGCTTCAAAAGAAAACGTAGTATGGATCAACAAGGATCAGACTCTTTTCTGAAAAGCTTACGTACTCATAATCCAGTCAAATCTGTGCGTTCCGAGTGACGAAAAAGAGCGCAAGGACAACTTGAGTCACCAACTACACTATTCTATTACAGTGATTGAATACACTGCGCCCAATAAGTATAGGACCCCCCTCAGTTTTGGGTGTTCCGAGAAAACTAGAAGAGATATCAAAAATCTGCAAGCGCCATTCGATTTGGAATACAAAATAACCCCCGGACCCAAATTTTAACAATCTGAAAACTATTTGTACCCGTCCACCATCAAAAAGTCACTTTTTCCACCGCCCAATAAGTATAGGACCCCCTCACAATTTTGACGGATTTTGGTAAATTGAAGGGAATTCAGCCATTTTTTTCCATATTATTATTATAATTGTTGTTTTTTTATTGTTTTCATATTATTTCGACTTTATTTCCCAACTTTCTATCATTTTCTGATTGGATGATGAAGGATCTTTGAATAAATCTGTGAAAATGGATTTTTTTAAAGTAAACATTTTTTATTCAACAAAATCAAATGATAACAGGGAAAAAATTAATAACTGGTCTCGCCTCCGTTCTTCTGAATGACTTCGAAAAGTCGATTTGGCATGCTCGATACCAGATTCTTCAATTCCGCGGCTGTGACCAAATTCCACTCGATAAGAAAGGCATCTTTCAGATCCTGGACACTGGCATACTGTTTGCCATGGCGGTAGACACGACGAACCAACAATCCCCAAACGTTCTCAACTGGATTGAGGTCTGGGCTACACGCCGGCCATTGCAGATCCTTGATTCCTTTCGCAGCGAGCCAGTTTTGTGTCGAAATGCTTTACATTCTCCCATTTAGTAG